CTATCTATCTATCTATCTATCTATCTATCTATCTATCTATCTATCTACATAGTGCATATGAGGAGGTCAGAAAAAAATTGCAAGAGTCAATTCTCTCTTTCTGTGTGGGCTTTGGGAGCCAAACTCAAGGTGTCAGGCTTGGTAGCAGGTGCCTTTATCCACTGAGCCATCTTGCCGTTAACATATTTAAAACACTGATACATCACTTAACAGAGGGCAGTACTAATGTGTGTTTCCATTGCTACTATGTGTGTCTTTGTATCCATGAAGTTTCATGGGCTTTTATTTACTGTGAACTGACTCATTGGAAAATGGTATCACATTCTTTAATTTGTGTTTTATTAGTGATAATGAACATTAAAATATTTCAACTGTGATCCAGGTGAGGTAGCACACGCCTATAATCCCAGCACTCAGGGAGGCAGAGGCAGGCAAATCTCTGTGAGTTCAAGGCCAACCTGGTCTACAAAGCAAGTCCAGGACAGCCAAGACTACACACAAAGAAGCCTTGTCTCAGAAAACAAAAACAAACACAAAAACAACTGTGTATATGTATTGTGTATGTAAGTTATCTAGTCATGATTTTGACCATTTAAAAATATATGTTTGATTTTCTCTTTGATTTGGAAGAGTCTTACATGTGTAAGATTTGATTTCAAGGTGAGATAGCTAAAAGAACAAAGTCAATAAGTAGTTAGCAATTTGAGGTTTTAGGTGTAGCGAGCATTTAAGGCTAAGATAAATTTTAGGAGTGAAAGATATAAAAATGGAATGCTTTCTTAGATGTAGTAAGGGGGTGAGCTAAGGAATGAATATGAGAAACACTCACAAATAATGAGACATCAAAGGGGATTTTGCCAATAGTGGGAAATGATCAGAAAATTTTAAAAAGACCCAACAGTTTCCTGTCATCTGAAGCAAAAAATAAAAGTACTAAGAATGACAGAGAAGTAGCCATAGATTTGCATTTAGTGGCATCACCAGTGACTTGGAATCTTGTCTTTTACTCAGGGTACATTCTACCTAAACTAACTAGAGAACCTGGAGACTCAGAACAAAGGACCTGTTTGTATGTTTTTCTTGATATTTACTGGGTTGAAAGAGCCAGGTTTTTTTTTGTCTCAATCTCTGTGGTTTATTTATATATTTCTTAATTAAGGAAATTGTCTAGAGCTGTCTTGCTCTGATAAATCTTATATCAAGATCATCATTGTTCAGAGTAAAATATATACATGCAAATTATGAACAAAATCCTGAGCTAAATGTACACTGACCCCAGGACAACCCC